CACTAAAAAATGTTTTTTTTTTTAGTGGTATTGCATGGGGAAAATGTTCGGATTGTGCTCTTTAGTCATACGCAACTCATTGCATCAACATTCAATATATAGAGCTCAAAATTTTCATAACTTTTAGTGGTATAAACTGTAATGTTTTTATATATTAAAAGTGCTACAGTTTATTGAAAAAATTAATAGTTTTAAGAACTCCACTTTTTCAATACCACATTTAGAAATTACCTCGATAAGGATGTAATCAAACCATTATGTACAGTCCTGGTAAAACTCGTGTTCTTGTTGTGAAGAAAGTGCTTTTATTTAAAATTGTGGTTTATTTTAAAGAAATGGTTGTTGTACACACTGCAGTTATTTTTCTAACTGTCTGAATCTTGAAATCCCAAGATGTGAATTTTTTTATGGATTTTTGTTTTCGATGCCATTCAATAGATGGAGCAGGTGTTTTGGTTACATACATAGATACTGACATATACGCTACGTTTATTATAGTAAGATTTTTCGAATCGAGCTCGAACCTTCACCGGCTAAAATTGGAATATGGTTAAAATGCTTTGAAAATAATGAGAATACTGTTGTTAATAATAGAAATTCTACAAATAAATACGTAAGGTAATAAGAACAGTGTAGCCCCCCCCCCCTAGTAGCACAGCGGTATTTCTGTGGACTTACAACGCTAGAATCCAGATTTCGATACCCATGGTGGGCAGAGCACAGATAGCCCATTGTGTAGCTTTGTGCTTAATTAAAAACAAACAAAAGAATATGGTACTTTTAGTATTATATTTTTGTTAATACTGATGTTGAGAAATGATTGATGATACAAGAGATGGTGAGTCTTGAATAGACGAAACTGCAGTCCACAGCAGAAGTAACGGCCAATCAAAGAATGTATTAGGCCTCTAAGTCGCAAGCCTGGCATGGCCAGGTGGTTAGGGCGTTCGACTCACAATATGCGGGTCGCGAGTTCGAATTCCCATCCCACCAAACAGGCTCGCCCTTTTAATCATGTGGACGTTCTAATGTAACGGTCAATCCCACTATTCGTTGGTAAAAAGTAGCCCAAGAGTGAGCGGTGGGTGGTGATGTTTAGCTGCCTTTCCTTTAGTCTTTCATTGCAAAATTAGGAACGGCTAGCGCAGACAGCCCTTGTGTAGCTTTGCGCGAAATTCAAAACAAACCAAATCTACGTCAGGGGAGGAAGAGGTCAACGCTGAACCTGTCCCTCCCTGGTCCAAAACAGGGACCGAATCCCGATAAAGAAGAAGAAGTCACAGATTCTCCTTTCAATTGTACCTTTGTTGAAAAAGAAAAGAAACCTGTATCATATGTATACATAATCATTAAACAGTTGGTCCGCTGTTTTATAACGAATAATGAATTAGGCGCAATGGCAAAACATTATTCACACATCTAAATTTATCTAGGTTACTGTATGGTGAATTAAAAAGGACTAAAACACCCCATAAATATTTTTAATGAGACTATCACACTCATTTTGAATGCCTGCTGGGACTCGCGAGTTATACATACCGATAGTAGGTAAACAGCTGGTATAGGCTTTTGAGTACGAAGGACAGGTGTTTTTGTAAGCAGTTTGTACTTTAATTAGTTCAGGCATTTTATCTTTCTAAGAATACGATGGCATCCATAGTGAGAAAACTTTAGAAATTTATTTTGATAACTAATTCAGTGCATGTATTAGCTGGACAAATCAAACAATACAGAGGACAGTAATCTTTGTATTGGTTTATTACACCAGGATATGTGGACTCAAGTAATGCTGACAATTTCTTGCATAATCCAGCACTGTTTATTTCTGATAGAAGGTTTCATTATAGAAAGCAATGCATTAATATACAGTATGTTTTCTAATACAAATAAAAACGCGAGAGCTTAACAGTTATCGTCAGGGCAGAAAATAATAAAATTTGTTAATTTGAGATTTGCTTAGAACTTGGTACAAATAATATTCATGTCACCAACATAGAGGGTGATATGGAACGTAGGGAGTGAACTACCCGCTAGAAATATAACATTTTAGCATTTTTTATGAGCTAAAATGGTTTTATTTTATTCTCCCAGAAAACTTCTTTTTATTTCCTTGGTTCAAACCCGAATTTTAAGTCGAGTATTCTATACTCGTTTTACATTCGAGCTCAAAATTTTGAGTACTCGCACAGTCCTAAATATATCAGCTATCCCAAATATTCATTTCGTTTGATATATTTATAATATATAAATGACAGTAGATAATCAGGAAAGTAGTCTTTTGACAATTTTTGATGTGTCATACAGACTGTCGATGTTCTAGTCTGTATCGACTATCCTAATTGTATAGAAATGGAGCAGCTTTATCATCCAATGTCCCATAGACATCTCATCGTTGCTTGGTATCTCAGAAAGTAAGAAATGCCACTTTCAGCAGTTCATTAACCCACTGTTTTGGTAGTTAATATCAACTATATAGCTCCTCTACTGATGCTTTATCATCCGATGTTTCTCAGACAGCCAGATGAGTACTTCAAACAATTTTCTCGTCATCATTTTAGTTGGTACGATATAAAACAGTACTTTCACTGTCTTCTAACTCATCAGTAATGTACGGTTTTAGCTTGTCAACGTGCTTATGTGCGCGACATGAATGCTGTACTTAATAGTTTACGCAACTCAGAAAATAACTGGTTATTGAAATAGCCTCTTGGTACAGGTGGACTTTCTTAAATGCTCTGATTCACACTATCCGTTGTTCAGCTGACACATCAGTGATAGACTGTGCTAATGTATTGACCAGTGAACAAGAGTTGGCTCACTCGGTGCAATATCGATAACAACCAGTATATACTGATTACCCCATTCAGTCTCTGGGACAACACCAGTTATATCGAGAGTTACTTTCATAAAAAAAAAAAAGAGTCACCAATTCTCCGCTAGAGTTTACATGGTTTTGAACAGTTTTCCTCTAGGCAGCACATGCAGTATAATTTTGCATCATCATTGATGTGTCTGTGACCAAAAAAATCTACTTGCAAGCATTAGAACATAAGCTTGTAACATCCTAGTGGCCTTCTATTTCCGCATCATCATTGATGTGTCTGTGACCAAAAAAATCTACTTGCAAGCATTAGAACATAAGCTTGTAACATCCTAGTGGCCTTCTATTTCCGCATCATCATTGATGTGTCTGTGACCAAACAAATCTACTTGCAAGCATTAGAACATAAGCTTGTAACATCCTAGTGGCCTTCTATCTCCGAATCATCCAAAGTTTGAAGTATCTCCTGTCGAACAGCTCTGGAAAGTACTGAAATACAGGTTGAGAAGCATGTCTTGGTGGTTTTAACAATGGTTCAGCACACCCTCATTCACTGATAACTGCTCGTATAAATGCGACTGGTTACGAGTGTCCGCACTATGTTCATATATATGTGTGGTTGTGTTTCATCTTGCTGTACAGCATGTAGTGCTCATGTTACTTGTTGGTCCTTCTGTTGCTCTTCCCATAACTCTGGAAGTACCATTCATGGTGTACATCCATCAGTGGAATAGTTACATTGTATGAATAAATGTCAGAACTTCTGCAATGTCTTTAACATCCACATGTTTTTCAAAATTTGGAAAGTTCAAGAACAGACAAGGTCTCAACATTTGGCAAGACAAACTGTTGATACTACATGTTGAAGGACCAGTCGATGATGTACTCTATAGTCGTACTCTTGCAGTGTTATGATCATTCCTTCTTGATATTTAAGGTTCATAAGCCATTTTACTGACACATGGTCCACATGAATGATGAACTTTCTGCTAAACAAGTAGTTTCGGTAATGTTTGACATATACTACAGTTGCAAGCAATTATTTTTTTTGTTGTGCACTACCTGTCTTTAGCAGCCATCAGTGTATGCTGTAATTATACATTATAATTTGTGCTGCGCTTCCACTATCGAGGAAATCAGTATACAGTGGGAATGGACAATCTTGTTTTGAGTATGCTACCACCGTAGTTTCTACTTCAGCATATTTCGGTATGTTTGCAGCCCAGCTAACTCGATGAGCTTCAGTACTGAACTAAACATTAACGTGTGGCATACAAAGTGTACAGTTAAAATATGATTATATTCTTCTTACTGGAAATCAGTAAAAGGCTATTAACGAAATATTTGATAAAAAAAAAAGATTCTAAGTCATACTGGGATGTAATATTATATAAAGCACTGATCTATAACTACAAATATTTCCCCGAAAGCCGCCTGGAAGAGTCACCTGTTTTAACCACTCTCACCACCATACAGTAGTGTGTTGTCTGTCAGTTAGTCAGTAGGCACTAAAATGACGTCACATAAGGGACGCATAATGTTGCAGTTTTTACTGTCGTGACGTCAGTAAATCATGCGCATGCCACGAATCACGAGAAGAATTATGCACTCTGTAGACTGTAACACAGCATGAAATATGAACTTCAAAAGCAAAAAATAAAATGAAAATAATTGTTACTCTTAATTTTGAGGACCCTGCGGAAGTACATCTAGTATATACATGTTTTATCGTACTTTCCTGATGAGTGTTGATAACTTAGCATGTTTAAATGATAACAGTTATTATAAGCAGTATATTGTCACATGACCTACACGTGAGATGGGGATAAACATATATCGTCTCAAAAGGTTATGTATAAATAATTTGTAATTAGTGAGCCACAACTCGCAAGTTCATCCAACTCTTAGAAACGTTAGAATGAGGAGAGAGAGAGAGAGAAAGACATATAATGCAAACGAAAGTTTTAAAAACTGATACATTCATCATATTCCTTAAGGTAAAATGCAATTTGTTTGAATTCACTTTAATTTATAAATTACTGTAATAATCTCTTCCTTAAGTTTCGATACTCCTACCTTAAATAAGTCCATTTAAATTAGCAACCTTTTTAACCGTTTATATTTTCATGGTAAATATCTTTGTTTCTTCTAATATGACATATAACAAATGAAAACTTACTGCTTACGACGATTCTGTGTTGTCGTCTCGAGGTATGAAAAGAGTTGAGCTATTGCTTACTTAGAGCGTCGCTGTCTTTCTAACTGCTACTAATGATTGATGTTTTTTATTGCTTATGTTTGCTGGTTACCAGCTTTTATAATACTCGAGGTAGCAGTAGTAACTTGGGCGATTTTCATTAAACACGCATGCACGCTAACCTATTGAACTTATGCTGAAATACGCACACAGTGTGACCTTGGTTTAACCTTTCTTTTCTTTTGTTTAATTGAATCCAGCAGGAACTTAGTTGCTGTTTGTTTTTGGTTTTTTTTTCACTCAGCCTTCTACAATGCCAAATGTTTATGTCGAAAAAACACCCACACTTGTAGAAATTAATTATGTCTGCTTAATTTGTCACTTTTAGTTCCTGCTTTTTAAAGCTGTTTTCAAGAAAATACCTCCCACAGCCAATCAGAGACGTGATTGCACGTGGTAATGACAGTCAACGCCTTTATTATGTGACATAATCGTGACAGATGATGTATAAAACTTCCTTTGTGAGCAAGTTACAGCTGCAAAAAAATCATACTAAACTTCACCGTGCTCCCGACGTCGACGTCTCTCCCCGGGACACCGCCTCCTTCATCTGCAAGTGTAGTCTTCCACGAGCTCACTAGGAAACTTCGCAAAGGGGGTATCGGCCTGCAGCCAAAATCTCCCGAAGACTTCGACCTATTATGCTGACCATGAAACTCCAATCCACTCGTTCCCTGTCAACCACCCAAAAGCGGCTCCAGATTACATACAGTCTTTCTAAGGAACGTTCACCAATCCTTCTCGACCGAGGAAATCGTCATAGCCCATGAAGTTTCCACCCACTCTAAAATGCACGCCGCTAACCGAATAATATTAAAAAAATCAGGACTACCAGCCCACTACATCAAGATCGCCACATCTTCTCATCCTATCACGCGGCTGATTCCTCGACTATCACCACTTTAAAGCAGAATTACCTCATCGTAAGCCTCACCTACCGCACCCAGTTTCCCTCCTCCGCCACACCCATCCCTCTCCCAACGATCACCCGCCGCCGACCAAGTAACTCCAACCGACCAACCACAAGAGACCAACAGACTCAAACAGAATGTACCACCACGTCAGACCAATCAACACAAACATTTGTACCAAGGAGGAAGAAAACAATCCAAACCCTGCCGCCTTCAGACAACCAAGACCGACCTGTTACCACCTCCACTATATTTCAACAAACCAGCCAACTGCTAGAACTTCAGCCTATCCAGGCCCTTAAGCCAGACCCACGCTCTACTCATTGACACCTTCACCAATTCTTCCACTCAGCCGTACGACCTAACAGACAAACCCTTCCTTGTATTTCGCTCACCTACCAGCGACCCAGAAGATTCAATCCCGATAAGACCCCCTTTCCAGTAAGAATATATTCCTAAACAACATCCGCAGACTAAGAGATTCCTCGCTTCTCTAAGTATTCTATAGACTCGCCTATCACCCTGCCTCCTTTCATTTTAATTCTCCAGGTTAACCGGGCACTGGTAATTGATTGGCGCATTACCATTGAAAGTGGGTTTTCTCGGGGCACTCCCGTTTCCCCCTACACCAAGTTGTTGGCATAGGATTTACAGATTCCGCCTCCATGAAGTCCGAGATCGGGCGTTTCTTAGAATTGTTAGAAATCAGTAATATCAGATAGATAATTTGAACCAACACCACACAACCTATAATTTAACAAACATAACCATGCCTTTCACCTTATTCTCGAGTGGGGCGAAGGGAAACAAAACTGTTTCCGAGCGCCCCCGGTATTCTTCCAAAATAAGACTTTAAACCGAAATAACTACCAGTATATTGTATTATATATAAGTTACAGCTGTGTTTTGTGAATTCCATCCAAAGTTCTAATTAACGACACAACTGCATGTGGCTAAACAGGTGAAGTCTTTAACCCACGTGGATAAAAATCAGCTCATTCATAGCCGTAGTTAACTTGTTCAATCTTATTTGACTTAGTTTGAATAGCACGCATTCACGCTTTTTTATTCACACCCTCGGTCAATGTCCAATAATACTGTAAAAGCTCAATTTATAAAGTTTTCTAATTTAATGTTCACTTATTTATTAAATTTCCTAATTGAATGTTCAATTTAATTCATTCGTTAAATTTCTTAACTAAATGCTCAACTAATTTCATTCCTTCCCTCTTTATAAAAAAATGTTCTGTCTTATAAAATGTCCCTCAAACTCTCATTTTTATTGCAGTTGTTAACTGGATTAATACATAATATAACCGAACCTCATTAATAACAGCCGTACGTTGGGACAAACATCATACGTTTTTAACAAACCATAAAAGTGTTAAAAGATATGCTAATATCACATCATAAATTTAATACGAAATTTCTCATCGCATATATTGTTTCATGTACTATTGGATAACATATACAAAATTATTTCTTGGCATTTAATATATCAAAGTGATAATCAATTCTATAATGACTCCTCATTATTCAACACTAATCAAGCACAGATCTAAGCATTACAACATAATTCAGTTAATTAATATATTATAATGCTTTACAACAGTATACATATGATTTCAGTATTTTGACAATTCTTGTGGTTTTATATATTATTTTAGTTTTATTATCTTGATGTCATCATTTTCCTTGTAGACCTTATCACGGACACCGAAATTTCTCAACAATAAGTATTTAAAAATATTTTATATATTATTGGATTAATATTTGCAGAAATATGTCTCGGCATTGAATACACCAAAGTTAATAATTAAATGATAATCAGCCCTGTAATTAGTATTCATAATCCAACAATAATGAAACATTAAATTAATAATTAGGACATTATTCAATTAATTCATATACCATATCGCTCTATAATAGTATACATATTAGTTCACAATTGTTTTCAGTATCCTCACCTTTCTTGTAGAAATTATCACAGATATCAAAAATAATTAAATAATGTCTTTCCCAAGTCTGTTGGTTCACCTAGGTTATCACGCGACATTCGTCGTATATGTTCACATAGTCTGTTAATTTTTAGTGCTCATATTGTTGTTCTTCAGACGTGAATGCTACTGTTAGCTCGTTCGTTCTCATCATCTGTGGATGGGTTATATAATTATCAACGATTGCCCCATGTATTAGTTCCCCACATTGATCCAAAGTTCAGTATTCATTGCCAGATATTACATACTGTATATTCATTTTTATCACGGCCCGGCATGACCAGGTGGTTAGGAAGCTCGACTCGCAATCTGCGGGTTCAAATCTCTGTTCCACCAAATATGCTCGCCCATTCAGCCGTGGGGGAGTTATAATGTGATGGTCAATCCCACTATTCGTTGGTAAAAGAGTAGCCCAGGAGCTGGCGGTAGGTGATGATGACTAGCTGCCTTCCCTCTAGTCTTACACTGCTAAATTAGGGACGGAGTTTTTGGTCTCTTATGGTAACTATGTGTAGTGGTTGCCGTGCGTTTTTGCACAGTGTCTCGCTACTAGATGGCTCTGTACTTAACTCTTTTGACTCTTGAATTCACGTTTCTTCTGTGGCTACTACTAATACCTGCACGCATGTCATCGTCATCTGATACTGAATCCATTATGCGCTCTTTGTTATCTAGCCTTGTTTTTAAATTCATTAGAGTTTTGTTAGATTCGTTATTTTTTATTTAATTTTTCATATTCTTGTTTTCCTTTGACTTCTGTAGGAAATGTATCGTATTCATAAGGTCCATCTGCTTCCTCTACCTGTTCTGTTCACGTGTTCTAATTGTGTATTATTGCAAAAAATGTCCATAAACTTGAAATTTAAGGGTCTTGTTTGTTTAGTCACCCTAAAGAGGTCTTTATTTCTGTACGGCCACATTATCTTTACCTAGTTTCTTTGTTTTTTACTCTTAAACTCTTCTACTCTAAGTTTCTAATTTTTCTTAAATCTGTTACTATTTCTCTGATTTCTTCCTCGCTTGTTACCAGTGTTGAACTCAGGGGGTGTACAGGGAGGGACTTTCCTCCTGTGCACAAAATACCCCCACTTTGTTGTTAAGCGTGGTTTCACTGAAACTTTATCAAAAATTATCGGATAATGCGAGAAGTCTCTAACAGCATTCTAGCCTCCATCACGGGTCACCCTGTTAAAGTATTAGTAAAATGTAGAATAGGGATCCAAGAAGTTGTACTTCATGGGGATTTTTATTTTGCCCCAGTACCAACTAATAGATGACTCTATTTCTTTAATTTCTAACCTGACTATAGGTGGAATACCATTCACACTAAGTTTTCTGTAATGTTTTATTTTACTTCTGGGTGTGTTTTGGTGGATGTCACATTTTTTTGAGCCATCCTCCTTTTGACATATGGGCTTATTTTGTCTGCCATTTCTACCAGTACGTAGGTTTACTTTTGTTAATATTTTTGTGAACTCTACAGTTTGCTCCGATGTACCCTAACATTCACCAGTTGTAATATTTAGTTTTCGTGTTTCTCATGCCTCTGTCGATGTACAGCTTTTAATATACCCGTGGGAGTTTCTCTGTTGTGTACAGGGCCAGGATAATCTCAAGCAGTGACCTTGCTTTTAAGCAATTGAAACATTTCGGATTATCAAGTACATCTAGTTTTTGTGTTCTTTCCCGATACATTATATCTGGTATTGTTTTGGCTCATGCAAGTTTTTCTTTGATCTCTTTTCTAGTTGAAACTTCTATTAAATCTAATAGTGGCGCCTTCATTAACATTTAATCTCATTAGTTCACCAATCAGTCTATTTTCATAATTTGATTTTAGTATATCTTGAGCTATAAGCTCACTTGGGTGATCACAAACCCTTCGTAACCTGTTTCCTGATACTTACGCCCAAAGACAAGGACTTATTCCCCTCACTTCTGTATTTGCGCGTCGATCAGTCCCAGTTTGTTTGTTTGTTCTAGAGCAAAGCTACATTGGGCTATCTGCTGTGTCCACAGTGGGGAATCGAACCCAGGATTTTTGTGTTGTAAGTCCGTTGACTTACCGCTGTCCTATTGGGGAACATCAGGGCAGAAAATTTTAAGGAGGCAAATAAATTAAAAAGCTGAAATTAATCTAAATTTTTAATAAAATGGTCATTAAAACAAATCAAATCAAATATGATAGTGTTTATAAAGTTTTATTTATTTTTTATTAAATGATACAAAACAAGTTTATTATATATAAAATATGAAACATAAAATGCGATCAATATGCCTATTATAGCAAGCTTAGAAAATGAACTTTCTGCTGATGTTGACGTAGCTGGAATAGTGCAAAATATCTGATAAAGTTCATAAATATTCGGGAATATTTTGTATAGGCCAGAATCATATAAATACTTGAAAAAATCCCTTGGATGTTTGCATACTGATTTGGTTCCTTCACGAACTACTTAATCTTTGCTTTCCATAGCTTTAATTCCTCCACAAATCTTTCAGGTTCAATGTCTCTAATGACCTTCTCAAACCCACTTTGAGTTAAATTTCCATCTTCTTTCTCGTCTCAGCATCTGTGTACATGTGTCCTTCAGAGTATGTGAAACCACAGTTTTGAACAAGAGAAGAAACGGATTGTCGTAATTCGTCACCATCTTTTGCTTCAAGTAAGCTCCTGAGCGACAATGGTTCAAACATATCAATAACTTCCTTTGTTTTCAAAAAGCGGTAAATTATGTCATTGTGCATTGTGTCCGGTATATCCTCCCAAACAACTTTTACTTTGAAAGACATTGGTGGATACGGGTCGGCAGCATCATGTCTTGCTAATTCATCTGGCATCTTTTCTTTCACCTTTGACGCTTTTTTTTTCAAACTCTATCATGGTTCCAGCTGATGAAGCAAGGACTTTTGCTTTGGAAACGATCTATGTTTAGATCACTGGTAGTTGGCTGGCTCCATGTTGGTACAAACTACTGCGCTTGGCCATATCCAGTTCACTATATGGCGAGAACTTTGGATCTCTGGTCTCTGTGGAAATTGGCTGAAGTACAGAGACTTCTGTGTCTGCCTCTGTACTGCTTCCTGGATATGGTTGATCAGAGGGACTGTCATTTACTGTATCAGCTTGCATTATTACCTCACTGCTTTCTACAATAGCTGTATCTCGGTGACTGCAAACTACGTCTGAAGTTGTTGTAGATTGTTAATTTGGATCTTCCCCCTAAAAATAGAGAGAGAAAAGCTTAATTTTAATATTTTGTAATTGTTAACTGATGACCGTGTTGATCTTTCACATTTTTTAGTATCTATATTAAATCTGCTGTCTAAGTAGCAGTACCTTTTGGGTGAACTTTTGAAGACTGGATAATGAAAATACAATTAAAATATTGCAGTTATCGTAAGGATCTAGAGAACTTTGACAGACTTGCGTGTCTGCATCCTAGTTCAGTATATATACAGGGGTTGGACAAAATAATGGAAACACCTTGGAAAATCAATAAAATATATTTTAATATGGTGTAGGTCCACCTTTTGAAGCAATTACAGCCTCAGTT